AAACACCTGAGGAATTTAGTTCTGTGAGTAAACAGCGCGTGAAACATGAGTTCTGGCCTCTACTCCTCTTGCAGAAGAGGAGTGTGTGTTACTTGTATCCAGCTCCATACAATCATAGCGTAGTTTGGGTTGGAAGACCTTTAAAGGTCATCACGTCCTTCTTGGCAAGGCTGCTCTCAATCCCCTCATCCCCCAGCCTGGATTGATACTGGGGGTTGCCCCAAACCCACGTGCAGGACCCTGCACTTGGCCTTGTTGAACCCCATGACTTTTGCCCAGGCCCACGTCTCCAGCTTGTCCAGGTCCCTGCGGATAACATCCTGTCCTTCTGGTGTGTCAGCTGCACCACTCAGCTTGGTGTCATCTGCAAACTTGCTGAGGGCGCACTCGATCCCACTGTCTGTGTGTCACTGATGAATATATTACACAGTGCTGGTCCCAATATAGACCCCAGAGGGACACCAATTGTCACCATTCTCCATCTGGACATTGACCCGTTGACCGCTACCCTCTGGCTGCGACCATCCAACCGATTTCTCATCCACCCAACAGTCCACCCATCAAATCCATATCTCTCCAATTTAGAGAGAAGGATGTTGTGGGGAACAGTGTTGAAGGCTTTACAGAAGTCCAGAGGGATCACATCCTCTTGTCCACTGACGCAGTCACTCCATCGTAGAAAGCGCTAGGTTGGTCAGGCAGGGCTTGCCCTTGGGGAAGCCAGGCTGGCTGTCTCAAATCACCTCCCTGTCCTCCATGTGCCTTAGCACAGCTTCTAGGAGGACCTGTTCCACGATCTTCCCAGGCACAGAGGTGAGGCTGACAGGTCGGTAGTTCCCAGGGTCCTCCTTCCTACCCTTTCTAAAAACAGGTGCAAAGTTTCCCTTCCTCCAGTCACCAGGGACTTTGTCTGACTGCCATGATCTTTCAAATATCATGGAGAGTGGTGTGGCAACTCCATAAGCCAATTCCGTCAGGACTCTGGGAAGCATCTCATCAGGTCCCATAGATTTATGTACGTCCAGGTTCCTCGGGTGGTCCCGAACCTGGTCTCCCCTTAGAGCAGGTGGGTGGCTTTGCTCCCCCGTCCCCGCCCCGTGGTCTGTCCGCTCCAGAGGTGCGGCATCTCATCAGGTCCCATAGATTTATGTACGTCCAGGTTCCTCGGGTGGTCCCGAACCTGGTCTCCCCTTAGAGCAGGTGGGTGGCTTTGCTCCCCCGTCCCCGCCCCGTGGTCTGTCCGCTCCAGAGGTGCGGGAGGAGAGGTTGCCAGGGAAGACCGTGGCGAAACCCCTGCCGAGCCCCCAGCCCTCTCCTCGTCCGCCCC